CATGATTTTTTTATATTAACTAGTAACTATTGATTATTGATAATCATTCGTCGCTGAACCTCAATGTCGAGATGAAGGCCACAGCAAATGTTATCTTCCTCTAATGTATACGCGGGTTTGTTAAGGCAGCACACGGACCAGAATTCGGCGAATTAACACTTTTTTTATAATTGTGCAACACTAATAAATCGGAAAAGTCAAGGATAAATTTTTTACTATAATTACGGATTCTATAGACTTCAATGGAACTTATACTACAGGAGGCACTTCACCACGACGTCACCACGTGACGTCTATAATTAGAAAATATGCCTTAATAAAAAACTGAAAAGTTTAACACTACCCCGGGGATAATTAGTTCCAATTTATATTGATAGTTATGTTAAAACATCTCTGTACCATTAAAAGTGATGCTAGAATCCTACTGTTCTCTTATAGAAATAATTATTTAACAATTTCGGACGAAACCTTCCCAAAATGTTTACATTTTGTTCATAACATCGAAAAAAATGCATCAATGCCCATAAATCATACGATTCTAGCAGCACTTTCCAAAAACAATAGAATAAGAACTTTAGATAGAAATAAAGATTAAGTTTCAAGGTATGCGGCGTAGTGTTGAACTTTTGCATCTTTTTTGTTACGAACGGCAGAGGAAAGGCTGATCGGCAAGTAAACACCCTCCCTGCTTTAATTTTACGAAGAAATTGCAGAGTTACATTACCATACCTTATTCATACGCTTTATTCCCAGAAGAATCACACATGATATTCATTCTAAATGTTTTTAAACTCCGATTTCTTGTGTTTGTTTACATCAAATTTCGTTACTTTTCACTTTCACTCGGCTACTGCATGATCAACAGTTATGACGTCACGGGTTTGGTATGTAACCCCTGTGATACCTACAGAGGCCCAGGAACGACAAAATTCCGTTGAAATTATTCCTCTGCATATTTTGGTTCATTTTTACGACCTCAAATCAATCTTAGATATCGACTTTAAGAAATTGTTATCTCTAAATCTCACGTCATATAGCTTATTATGACGTCATAGCATATAGGCAAATAGAATATTTGGTTGTAACCTTAACCTACCTGCATAGATGTTTTTTATTGAATACATTAATAGCCCTAATGATTTTTTGCCATCGTAATATTTTTAAGATAATAAATAATTTGTTGTTTGAAAAACACAGGAGAGTTATCATATACTTATAACGAATCTTGTTATTACCTATGCAGAAAGTAAAAATTATCAATTTAAATTGATAAATTTGTGTTTATTCTTAAAAAGGGCTTTTTAATGATATAATTTTGTTTCATTTATCTTTCATATTGTATAAAAGAAGAAAAGGCAACACATTCATATGCTTTTTCACCGACATTTGAAGGTAATGGTTTGAGTTTTTTTCTTATTGTTTACTTACAAAAAAGTAGAGAAAATTTAACAATTGTTGTTCAATTAGCAAGTTCAATACATGTTGTTTACTTAGTAATTTTATCACAAATGGATAGATAGTAGAAAGCACCTACGTACAGGTAAAATTATGAATTTCCTTTGTAATTGAGATACTTTCCTCACGATTTTCTTAAACCTAAAAACAGCATCTCTTTGAAAAAATTAAACATTTTTTTTTTTAAAGTTTGAATTAAGATTAATAAATATCTGTTTTTTTACTTTTCGGAAAGAAAGTGGAAGGCACCCACATACAAGTAGCATTTCATGTATTATTTTCCTCAGTAATTGAAATTAATTCTTTACAATTTTTTGTTTATATTTTCAATCATCATGACGACAAAAACGAACAGATAGCAATTTTTGCAGAAAATCATAAAATTTTCGTGCATAAGATGAAATGATGAAAATTCCACGAAGTTATCAATGTGAAGAAAGTATTAAAATGTTTTTAAAAGATGCACATTTTTGGAAAGAAGTTACATATATAATAGGACTGTTATGATTCAGAAAAACCCTTAATGCCAGCAAAGATCAATCACACAGTTTAAACTTAACAATAATTCATCTACAGTAATATTCAAAAATCAAAAAAATACAAACTTACAGCAAGACTCTAAAAATACATACATCAGAGTGTCCTTTGCTGCACACAATGTCCAAGTGAAAGTATATCCTAGTCTCTTTGTACTCTAGTCTTACTTGTACATCAATATTGCTTATACGACAATGTTTTTATGCATAAAATTGATGGGGTATTTATACAGTATCATAAATATAGAAAATTCTAGAAGTTGTAAATACATGATATTACTGGAACGTTCTGGACATACACAAAATGTTCTAGAAAGAATGACTACTCTGGAATGTTCAAGAAACGTCTTAATGTTACTAATTATATACATGATGAAACAGTACAAATACAACACCCACACTTCCCACCCCTAAAAAGTTTGAATGCCAATGAAAACGTAAATTATTGTAAAATATATTTTCATTAAATAATACAAAATCTAGTACGTTTACCATACTCTTGACAAGGCATCTGCAAATACATTGTCTTTGCCCTTGATATGCTTAATTGTTATATTGCATTCTTGTAACAACAAACACCATCTAGTCAGTCTTTGATTTTTGTTTGACAAATTATGCAAAAAGGTCAGGGGGTTGTAATCCGTATATACAAAAATTGTCGTATAAGTAACATTGATGTACAAGAAAGACCGGCGTATTACAGTACATGTATTATATATTTTCTTGAAATCCCACATCTTAACACCAATCCTTTTTAGATGAGAAAGCTAGATAGTAGAGACATCATTTAAATAATGTTGTCTGTTTTATTTTGATCTAAGATAATTTTAAGGAAGGTAAAAGAAACGTGGGATTCGAAAGGCGGGATCGATCAGGACTGGGATTCCTTAAAATTCTATGTATATTCTTAATTTTATGAAATCAGTTAAGTTATATATTTTATTCTTAAGTTCCCTAAGTATATCCTAAATTTTATAGAAAAACTCATTGTTCAATGGCCCCGAGTTCCAAATGAATGTGTTGTGAAGTCTCTCCATGAGTGAAAAACTCTTAAACGGGACGTAAAACAACATACAATCTAACAATTACGATTTTCTTGTATTAAGGGGGCCGACTATAGTTTTATTGTGTGAAAACTACAATAGCGAAACTCTTCAGTTTTATAACATATATAACTTACATTAACTTCAGTGTACATGCAAAGTTTGGGGGAAATCTACCGTCTAGGTATTTTTGAGGGACCGTCTCAAAATACAGGTACATTTACTATAGGATTATATAGGAAAATGCCAATTTCCAGTTCTTTAAAGCAAATTATACAAATACTACAATAGACATTTTGTTCAAACTATAATATTTAATGAGCAATACTATATTATACGATATATGTAAGAAACACAAAATTCTACCGTCTTGTTACCAGAGGGGGCATCTCAAAATGCAAAAAATTAGCAAATTTTACTATTTTTATAGAGAATTACAAAATATGACGCACAAAATGGATTCACATGAAAACAGAATAAAAATATTGGAGATATTCTCAAATTTCTATGTTTTCAATTTCAAGAGCGTATGTTTATTACTTTTTCTTTAATAATATTTTTATTACCCCCTTCTTTAAGCGCTACAGATTATCATAACGTCAAAAACACACTGCAACGACGTCAACCTACCTATCAATTGCAAAATCGGTTTAAAAATCAGTTATCATTACAACCAACACGAACAAGAAACATCTCTTTGAGAAAATTATACAAGTACTTTAGTTTGAATAAGAAATAATTCAATTTTACTTATAACACGTCATTTGATTGGATAAAAGATTTTATCCATTTTGTATAACATAATTTGCCTACATCACAATGAGTTACGTCAAAAACGTATTACACCCTTGACGCTGTTTTTTAAAGTTAATCAATGTGAAGCCTTAATATGGGGGAAAATGTCTCATTGTCTCCGCTAAAATTAAATTATAAGGAATGAAGCTTATTTCATCTTATATTATACGATATAACAAAACTTGGGGCAGTTTACGTTTTTAGAAACTGCTTCGCACTCATTTAAGGAATGAAGCTTATTTCAACTTATGTTATACGATATAACATAAATTGGGGCAGTTTACGCTTTATAAACCGCGAAGCGGTTTATAAAAAAGCGTAAACTGCCCCAAGTTATGTTATATCGTATAACATAAGTTGAAATAAGCTTCATTCCTTATAATTTAATTTCAATGTAGACAATGATACAATTTTTCCATTTTTTTTCTTCGGAAAAAGGCTTCAAACATCGCATATTTTAGAAGTTAACGTCAAGCGGAGTAATACGTTTTTGACGTAACTCATTGTGACGTAGGCAAGTTATGTTATACAAAATGGATAAAACCGTTTAACCAATCAAATGACGCGTTACGAGTGAAATTAAATTATATACAGGTATGATTATTTTTTCTCAAAAATTTTGATAAATTCTTCACGATTTTTTTGTTAATATTTCCAATAATCATGACAACAAACACAAACAAGAAGCAATCTTTGAGAAAATTATACAAATACTTTAGTTTGAATTAGAATTAATAATTATCTGGGTTTTTTTTAATTATCAGATAGGAAAAAGAAGGCACCCATCTACAGGAATGATTATTTTTCCTCAATAATTGAGATAAATTCTTCACGATTGTTTTGTTTATATTTCCAATAATCATGACAACAATACGAAAAAGAAGCATCTCTTTGAGAAAATTATACAAATGTTTTAGTTTGAATGAAAATTGATAAATATCTCTTGTGTTTTCTTATCGGACAGAAAGTATATAGGCTGGACATCCAGGTAAAATAGTTATTTTTCCCTAGTTTAATGTTCCCCAATAAAAATTTTCCCCAGTAATTAATTGAAATAAATTCTTCACAAAATTTTAGATTATATTTCAAATAATCATGACAACAATAAAGAACAAAAAGCATCCATTTGAGAAAATTATACAAAAAGTTTTAATTTGAATTAAAATGATAAATATCTTCTTTTTTTCTTCCTGATCCGATAGAAAGAAGATGGCTGGCATATTCAGGTAGGACTATTATTTTCTTCAGTAATTGTAATAAATTTTTCATGAATTTTTTGTTTATATTTCCAATAACCATGACAAGAAAAACGAACAAGAAGCAATTTTTGAGAAAATTATAGAAATATTTTAGTTTGAATTAGAATTGATATTTCTTTTGTTTTTCTTATCGGACAGGAATTATACATGTAAAGCCGACATTTTCAAGTAGGATAATTATTTTCCTCAGTAATTGTAATACATTCTCCATGAATTTTTTGTGTATATTTCCAATAATCTTGACAACAAAATCGAACAAGAAGTATCTCTCTGAGAAAATTATTCAATTTATTTTCATTATTAAGATAAAAAGATGAAAATCCCGCGAAGTTATTATTGTGATGAAAGTATTTAGCTGCATTTGAAAGATGCATATTTTTGGAGAGAAGTTACTAATATAATAGTATGGAAAGCCGTAGGGTACCCCACATTATTATTATTTTTTCATATATAATTATACCAAAAATAATTATCTCATCCCAAACTGAAAATCTTGCTTTTTACAACATTTTTATTTTTTTCCTGCAATAATCATAATGTTGTCTGTTAAATTGTACACATTATTTTATTTTCTCCTCCAATTACTAGTATAATTATTTACACTTTACAATAATAATCTTGCCAGTCAATGTGGACACGATATTTAAAAAAAAAAAAGTAATTAAATTTTTTTATTATTATTATTTTGTACACATTTTTTTTTATTTTACTTCAAGATCATAATTATTCTTATTTCATCATTTTATAACAATGCATCCCTGTAATAACAATGTAGTGATTGAAAATAAAAAAAAATTAAATTAAAAAAAAAACTTAAAACAATTATTTCCGAAATCTTCGTTATATAATCTTTGCAACAATAATAATGATGTAAACGAGACTTTGTTTTTATTTTCAACAGGAAAGATAACTTCTTTTTTAGTGACAGTAACGAAAACTCTGTCCCCTTCTCCACAATAATTATAAGATTGTGACTGTCTACATTATTTATAGCGTGAAGATTTTATTATTTCTAGCGTGACGGATACAAACGTTTAAGTGAGAGAGATTTTCCTACATTATTTGAAGCGTGAAGATTTTATTATTTGAAGCGTGAAGTTTTTATTATTTGAAGCGTGAAGTTTTTATTATTTCAAGTGTGACGGAAATCAAGCGTCGATGCGAGAGAGATCGTCTCCTGAAAAGGCCATGTGCGCTGTAAACAAAATGAAAGACAGAAAATCCAGCTTTAGGCTTTTTAAAAGCGGTGAGTACGGACTAATCATAAATGTATATGTAAGTGACTTACATCATTCAGATAACGTCTCTTAAATCGGCTGTGAGTTTATTGTAAATTGAGCTAGAGTTAAAACATTTCGAATTGCCTCACACAGCTATCAGAAACCGACCATGTAGTGTGCACATAGACGCATGCATTATAAAACCAACCTGTCTGATTTAAAAAAGGACAATCATTTCATTTGATTGTACTGACGGATTAAGTAAATAAACATTTGAACCTTGACTTATAAATTCTCTGTCAGCCACTGGTATGTCGATATCAAAAATAAAGAAAATATAATCTGTCAGACTTTCAGTGTGGTCATGCCGTCACCCCTCCCCTTGTATATAGTGTAATAGGAGTATGTCTACAGAACACCATTGTCATTAGTGGTTCTAGAATATTTTCAACACTCTCCTATATTTTCATTAAATTATTTCCCAGGTTCTTATTTTGATTTGAGATTGTGTTTGGTCTTATTTCCGAGCCTGTTTGTACTTTATTTCAACACCTCATGTCAATATTATAATGAAAACACCAGTTTCAATAAACAACAAAATTTATTTAACCTTTGTATAGACAAACAAAAAAATGGTATATAAAAAAAATAACAACTGTAAATTTCTGCCTTGTAAAGAAAACCCTAATTTTGAAAACCCAGCAAAAATCACCCCCCAACCTAGCGTACGGAAACGCTAGCCCAACATAGCCGGGGGAAAAGGCCTAGGGAAATTTAAAAACCCCTTATTTACATTTATTTATTGAAAACCTAACTCCTAACTTTTAATTTTATGGCCTAATAAATTTAACAGGAGCTATAGACGACGACAATTTTTGTACAAATACCTAATAATATCTTAACATAATTTCTAAGGGTGCAACCTGTTAAATACTTAATAAACCTCTATAAAAGTGAGGGAACTTACAGGAAATCAATGCTTTTCAAGATTCCCCACTAAACTAGCAATTACACTGGTTTCTATACTTTTCGGAAACAATAGAAAATTCAACTTAGAATCCTAGTGGATGCACCCGAAGGGTATGAACTTTGACTGATATTAGTGACACCCAAAAGGTTAACTTCCGTATTAATAGCCAATCAAAATTTAGATAAACATTAGCCCAAAAGATTTGATGGAAGCAACATGTGCTTTTCCCTGAGAAGGTTTGTAAACATGCTAAATATAAACAAATGTATTAGGGATAAGGCAGTATACACATATATGTATGAAAACATTGATAATAACATATTATTACTCAAATACAAGGCATAAATGCATATAACAAAATCCATTCCTGCTACAATAGTATAGTTAAGTCTGATTTTGGTGGAAAAAATAAATAACCATTCTTTGATCAAGTGGAAATACATATATTCTGTCCTGTGAATGCAAGAATTTAATCTGAAAAGTTCCCAGACCCCGCCACTACCTTTTTATGAAAAGGTTGTGACTTTAACATGGTGAAAAATGCCTTTCCTTGCCAAACATTTCTCATCTACTCCTCAGACCTCTGTACATGCCATAATCTTGCACATACATCTAGGCATTTATATTTTTAGATTTTGTATGTCTATCTGCCACTGATTGAAAGAAAATTCAAGATAGAAAATGAATCAGCTGAACAATTAATTCTGTCTGAAAGTGGTGCAAGAGATACCTGATGTTTCATTTCAAAATGAAGAATTTGATGGTAAGGTTACTAAGGCTTTAATAAAAATCATTTTAACAATGAAATGCTTTCTTTGAATGTTAGAATGGTAATTAACATTGCAGTTGTTGCAGAAAAAAATGCATAACCCATGTAAGCGGGGTATGCATTTTTTTCTGCAACATCTGCAACATAAAGTCCCATTCTAACAAAACAAAGAAAGGCGATTTATTGTTTATATTGATTGATCCTTTAAATCTGGGAGGTGTTCTAAAGTGTAGCTGCTATGCTGCCACTATGTAAAGCAATGCTTTTGATAGCTGCAGATCTGTAGCGTTTTTGTTTTTTATATTTGTCTTTGACCATAACGCTACAGATCCTGTAGTGCAGAAAATGTGCAATTTAAGGCGCAATATTTTTGCGCTCACTTGGAGAGAATTTCTTCACTTTCTACTGTTTCTAGCATCGGTCAATCAACTACCTTTCAACTCCTAATTCTAGACACATTATTTAACTAATCTGTGTATTTTATCCATCTCCCAACCCTTTATAGTCGTCTATACAAATGATAGACTCGCTTGATTAAAATTATTTGATAGATAACTGAAAATTCACTTCAAGCGAGTTTATTGCCTGTAGAGACAACCATAAATGGTTGGGAGGTGGATAAACTGTATAAATTGGCTACTAAATGTGTCTAGAATTAGGAGTTGAAAGGTAGCTGATTGACCAATGCTAGAAAGTGGAAAAATTCTCCCCAAAAGAGCGCAAAAAATATTGTGCCGTAAATTGCACATTTTTTGCACTACGGGATCTGTAGCGTTATGGTCAAAGACAAATATAAAAAACCATAACGCTACAGATCTGCAGCTATGCTTTTGATTGTAGAGCTAGCCTAGCTGCTACATAGGGTGACTTAAATTAGTACAAATATTTCATGCTTAGTACCAAATTCAAGATGGCCTTATTTTGCAACTTCACAGCACACTAGATTTTAATTAAAAATAGGGGAATACTTTCTACATCTTACCGAATTTAATTACTGTAGAAGTACTTTTTTCCGCGTGGTATTAATTTACGCTATGTTCGCGGTCATGCATTTTCCACGGAAATTTGTCCAAGCGTTCTTAATATAAATGGAAGGCACATAGTGCCAGTCTGAGAAATCCGCATAATTTTCAACCCGCGGATTAAAGGGTAATTGAGATTCCGCGGAATTATGACCCCGTGGAAATAAGTACGTCTACAGTATTTTACAAATGTATTTACTTGAAATGACCTTTTTTTTTGTTCTGAATACACTGTATTAGTTTTTACTGATATAATTTTATCCCAAAATGTAGACTGAATTAGCAGCTAAGCTAGCTGACCATTCAATAGAGGTACCAAGACATTTTTTACCTAGATGCTTATATGCCTCTGCCATGGAAAGAACTTCGAAAATTTTTTAGAAGAGTTTCAGAAAATTTTAGAGTTAATTTTCACCTTGTGAAAATGTTATTGCCCATGGTAAGAATCGAAGTTGATTTTCACTTTGTGAAAATGTTATTGCCCATGGTAAGAATCGGACCCGGTACCCTTCGCTTTGTAGTAGGGTACTCATTTCACTAAGCTATCGAAGCTGTTGGGAAACACTGGATGAGAATTACTTGGGTACACTTTTTTCGCCTACTTCCTATAGTATATAAAAAAATAAATACTGCTAATATATAATTTCTATTTACACTATATCATATAAATATTCTTAATTTTATATAAACGAACAATAAATAAAAGCATTAAAAGGTGGAATTTAAGAGGGTTAATATACTCATAGCGCTCCATTCCTTAAAAGTAATATGGGCCTTGCCTCCATTATTTTTAAGGAATGGAGTGCTACGAGTATATTAACCCTTACATATAATTATATAAGATACATGATTACTGTCTTAAAATATAAGCGATATTTGGGCGAGGGTAAGAAAACATGATAGGAGCGAGGCTTGCCTACCCCTCTTACGTTTTTCGACCTGAGCCCAAATATTGCTTATATTTTAAGACAGTAATCATGTATTTT